GAGTGCCATCTCCCACCCTGGGGCAGCGCGGGGCGCGGCGTTTAACTGCACAGAGAGGTGTGCTCCGGGTCGCTGCGTGGCGCCGGTGTCACCTGGCTGGGGTCTCCCCTGTCCCCAACACCCCCAGGGATGTGGTCACAGTGGGGTGCATCTCTCCCTTCACACCTCGTGCTTTTAGGCCCCCTCACTGTGGTCGCAGCTCGCGAGAGGACACTGGGAGACACCCCTGGGTCACCCCAGGCTGCGTAAGGACTCTTGATCCCCCGTTGTCCCTGTTGTCACACTCCCGTCCTCTCTGGCAGCGCCACCGTCCCCTCGCTGAAGCATCGCCTGCAGAGGAACGTGGCTGCCATGGCCTGGAAGCCGCTCTGCGCCTCCATCCTCGCCGTCGCCTGCCAGAGCTGCGTCCTGGTGTGGCACCTGGACCCCACCTCCCTCTCCACCAGGTGACAGCCCCCGTTTGGGGTGGTTTTGGGTTAGTTCCAGGCAGGCGCTGGCTTTCGGTGATGCATGGGATGGCTTTTCCCGCGGTGACTTCTGTCTGTGTCCCTCCAGGCCTTCATCCGGCTGTGCTCAGGTGCTGTCCTACCCCGGGCACAGCCCCGTCACCAGCCTGGCCTGGGCTCCCAGCGGGAAGCTGCTGCTCTCAGCGTCACCCGTCGACACGGCCATGCTGGTGAGTGAGGGCTGGCACCTTTGGGACGCGGCGAAGCCACCGCGGGGCCACCAAGGAGCGGTTCGGCTGCCGGGGACATGCGGCATTTCCTCAGGCAGCTCCTGAATTTGAATTTGATTTAAAAACATCAACCTCTGCTCCCTAATCCACACAGAAATCCCCCCAGACTGCACTAGCATCAGGTCCTGGTGTTGTAATCCTCCTCGTTGTCCCCTTCCTCCAGGTGTGGGACGTGTCCACCGAAAACTGCGTCCAGCTGCAGTGGTTTGGGGGTGGCGGTGTCACATACTTGGCTTGGTCACCCGATGGCAGCAAGGTCCTGGCAGCCACCCCCTCTGCGGTGTTCAGGTGAGCTCCCCACTTGGGAGAGATGGTTTCTTGCAGCCGTTATTATCGGCTTTGGTCGCTCCAGAACCCAGATCTGGATTCTTTGTGTCCCAGCTGTTCCCATTCCTCTTGTGTCTGATGCGAGGGGAGAAAAAACGGGTGGACAGTTGGGTTCTGACAGCAGATCTGGGACAGATCCCACAAATTTCTCCTGCTTATTTTAGCCTTTGATCTTGCAGAGTGTGGGAGGCTCAGATGTGGACGTGTGAGCGGTGGCCAACTCTCAAAGGACGCTGCCAGGTGGGACAGGGCCATTTCCTACTCTAAAACCCTTGAGGGGCACGGGGTGTGTTTTAAAACTCCCAAAAAAGCCCCATGTGAGGTGCTGTCCCCCGGCGTGGGCTCTAACAGGGCTCTATGTCCCGCAGACCGGGTGCTGGAGCCCCGACGGCAGCCGCCTGCTCTTCACGGTGCAGGGCGAATCCGTCATCTACTCCTTGTCCTTCTCCGAGTACCGGGGTGAGTCTGCCCAGACCAAAGCTTTCCCACCCCAACGGCTCATCCTAGAGCCGGTTTCATGCTTTCGGCTGCGCCTGGGCTTGGCCGAGCGTGTTTTTTGTTTAAAAAAGCCAGGACTTGCAGTGGGAAGGGGTTCTCAGGGTTTCTCAAAGCACAGAATCTCCGTGGAGTTGAGTTTTTGCCCCCTTCACGTTGCTACCGGGTTCTGCACTTCGGTGGCAACAACCCCATGGACGCTGCAGGGGACGAGTGGCTGGAAAGGACCTGGGGGTGCTGGTGGCAGCAGATCCCAGGAGCCAGCAATGTGCCCTTGAGCCAAGAAGGCCAACGCCATCCTGGGCTGGATGAGAAGGGGTGGTTGTAGGGCAGAGAGGTTCTCCTGCCCCTCTGCTCTGCCCTGCTCAGACCCCAGCTGCAATCTTGTGTGAGCTCTGGGCCCTCAGCTCCAGAAGGACAGGAACTGCTTGAAAGAGTCCAGCAGGGCCACAAAGTGATGGAGGGAGTGGAGCATCTCCTGCTGAGGAGCGGCTGAGGGAGCTGGGGCTCTTGAGCTTGGAGCAGAGGAGCCCAGGGCTGCCCTCATCCATGTGATCAATGTGGAAAGGGCAGTGTCAGGAGGAAGGAGCCAGGCTCTGCTCTGGGATGTCCAGTGCCAGGACAAGGGCCGATGGTCCCAAGCTGGAGCACAGGAGGTTCATGTGAACATGAGGCCAAACTTTGTCAGTGTGAGGGTCCAGAGCATGGCCCAGGCTGCCCAGAGAGGTTGTGGAGTCTCCTTGTCTGCAGACACCCAAAGCCCTGGCCGTGTTCCTGTGTGACTGCTCTGGTGATCCTGCTCTGGGGGGGTTGCACTGGGGGAGCTTGCGTGGGGGAGGGCTGTTCCTGATATTCTGGGACTCTGTGATCTTCCAGTCCCAAACAATTTGTAGGGGAATTTATAGAGGGATAAATGCCCATTTTGTGGTTTTATTTCCCATGGAGGAGGCTGCTCCTGGTGTTTTTTGAGGGGAAACCTCCCTTGTCCTCCATCGAGGAGATGCTGCTGGGATGGCAGCGTGTTCCTCGCAGCCATTTTACAAAACAGAGATAAAATCTGTAGCCGTTTGGAAGGAAAATTGTGATTTATGGAGTGACATGAAGTGATTTACAGCCCCCATGGATAAATTCCAGCCGGAGAGGAGAAATGACCAGGTTGTTTTTCTCAGGTGAGATGCAAGGGCAAGTGGGAGGCTCGAAAACAGCCTCTATCGTGGCAGATCTGTCCGAAACCACCTTCGAGACACATTACGGGGAGGAGAGGTGGGTCTGGCTGCGCCCCAACGTGACATTTCAGAGATGTGGGGGAGGGCTGTGCCCCCCTCGCAGCAGCCCCTGGTGCTGGGGACATTGGTTGTGGGCCTGGGGGGGTCTCAATGCCGTTCCTGCCCGTTTCAGGATCGGGGGAGAAATCCACTCCATGGCGTGGGACCCCACAGGCGAGAGGCTCGCGGTGATCATCAGAGGTAAGGGGGGGGTGGTGCCTGTGCCTCGGCGCCGGGATTTGCCCAAAAATCCCCTTTGCAGCCCATTCTGGATTGGGCACAGACCCCCTGGGTTCGGGACAGGCAGAGCCCAAACCCTTCCTCCCCCTGCCCCTGCTCCTCCGTATCCTGTGGAGAGGGATGTGTTTGAGTCCCCTCCCTGCTCCCAGAGGGGTGAATCGCCCCTGAGGTTTGGGTGCTCTCACATCACCCCTGGAGCCTGACTGGGGCCTCTGGCTCTGTTTTGGGGATAATTGAACCATTCAGGGCTCTCCTGGCCAGGCCCTGCAGGGGGTCCTGCACTCAGGCTCCCTCCTGGGACAGGGCCAAAGCCACAGGGACCAAACTCAGCATTTTTGGACTTTTTTGCTCTGTTTAAAGCTGGGTGGGGAAGAAATTGGGTGGAGGAGGAAACCTGAGGGTGCTGCACCCCTCTGTGCATCCAGGTAGGTCCTCGATGCAGAAAGAGTGAAGGGATGGAAAATAACCTTTATATGGGAAGCCCCCACCTCACACTGGAAGGGCTGGGGCGTTCCCAATTCACCTGAGCTCTTCCCCAAACCCGTTTTGGCCAAACCCAAGACCTCGAAGCCAGCTCTAAAATCACAGATGGGGCTTGGAAAGCTCCATCCTGAGACCCTGCGCCCCTTGGGGGGAGGCAAACGCCCCTCACAGCCGCCCCTCGCGCCGGGGAGGCCTCACGTCTGCATTTCCCTCCGCGCAGGACACCCTGACGCACCCGGCAGCCAAACGGTGGTGGCCGTGTTCCGCACCCGCAACAGCCCCGTCTTCGAGCTCCTGCCCTGGTGCGTTTTGGGGCATTTGGGGATGTTTAGGAGTTGATTTGGGGGCCGGATTGGGACGGTTCAGGGTGTTTGGGGCAGTTTGAGGCTGGTTTGGGGTGTTTGGAGGCTGATTTGGGACTGTTTGGGGTGTTCTGGGGTAGTTTGGGGGCTGGATTGGGACGGTTCAGGGTGTTTTGGGGCTGGTTTGGGGCTGTTTTGGGGTGTTTGGAGGCTGATTTGGGACTGTTTGGGGTGTTCTGGGGTAGTTTGGGACTGTTTTGGGGCAGGTTTGGAGTAGTTTTGGGGCAGTTTGGGGCGTTTTGGGACTGGTTTGGGGTGTTTTGGGACATTTTGAGGTTAGTTTGGGGCAGTTCGGGGTGTTTTGGGGCAGTTTAGCGTGTTTCCAGGTGTTTTGGGGCATGCTTGGGGGCAGTTTGGGATGTTTTGGGCTGGTTTGGGGTGGTTTAGGGTTGATTGAAGCCCATCAATCTCCCAGGGTGCGGTGAGGAAGAGCAAACCCACCCCAAAGCAGAGACGCTGCCGCCCTGTGCTTGTGCTACCGCTTTACACCAGAATCAGTCACATCTTGGCCATAATTCCCATTATTCACCTCAAAAATCCTCTGCTTCACGTCGCCCTTGCTTGGTGCCTCCCGGCAGGGCCCAAACGCCTCCGTTTAACCTCAGGCTACGCCGAAATCGTCGCGTTTTGCCGGTGCCCCGTGGCCGTGCCGTGCCAGAGGCTTTTCCTGGGCTCACAGAGCGGTTTTGGGGTTGGAAAACCCTTTAAAATCCTCAATCCCCTCTGTTTTCCTCCCTCCACAGCGGTTTCCTGCGAGGCGAGCGCGGCGCCCAGCCCCAGCTCATCGCCTTCCACCCCTGCTTCAGCAAAGGTGCCCTCCTCACCGTGGTGAGTGCGGGCCTGGGGCCTGTGGCCTGTGGCTGCTTTTGGGGTTCCTTGTCACTGTCCCTGGTGCCAGCGATCGTTTTTGGGGTTCCCTATTGCTGCTGGCATCCGTTTTTGGGGTTCCCTATTGCTGTCCCCAGTGCCAGTGGCTGTTTTTGGCGTTCCCCATCGTCCCCAGTCCTGGTGGCCGTTTTTGGGGTTCCCCATTGCTGTGCCTGCTGCCAGTGGCCGGTTTCTGGGTTTCCCATCGCTGTCCCTGCTGCTCGTGTCCATTTTTGGGGTTCCTCATCGCTGTCTCCAGTGCCCACAGCCATTTTTTGGGGTTCCCCATCACTCTCTCCAGTACTTGTGGCAGTTTTTGGGGTTCCCTGTCACTGTCCCCAAAGCCCACAGCATTTTGGGGGTTTCCCATCGCTGTCCCTGGTGGTGGTGGCCATTTTTGGGGTTCCCCATTGGTGTTCCCAGTCTTGGTGGCCATTTTTGGGGTTCCCCATTGCTGTGCCTGGTGCCAGTGGCTGATTTCTGGGTTCCCCATCGCTGTCCCTGCTGCTGGTGGCCATTTTCAGGGTTTTCCGTCACTGTTCCCAGTCCTGGTGGCTGTTTTTGGGGTTCCCCATCACTGTCCCCAATAGCCACAGTAGTTTTTGGGGTCCCCCATTGCTGTGCCTGGTGTATGCAGCTGGTTTTGGGGTTCCCCATTGCCCACAGTCATTTTTGGGGTTCCCCATTGCTGTCTCCAATGCCCACAGCCGTTTTCAGGGTTCCCCATTGCTGTTCCCAGTGCTGGTGGCTGTTTTTGGGGTTCTTCATCACTGTCCCCAATGCCCACAGCTGGTTTAGGGGTTCCCAGTTGCTGTCCCCAGTGCTGGTGGCTGTTTTTGGGGTTCCTCATCGCTGTGCCTGGTGTCTGCAGCTGTTTTGGGGGTTCCCCATTGCCCACAGCCGTTTTCAGGGTTCCCTATCACTGTCCCCTGCGCTGGTGGCTGTTTTTGGGGTTCCCTATCACAGTCCCCAGTGTCAGTGTCCATTTTTGGGGTTCCCCATCACTTTCCCCAAGGGAAACCCACCCAGGGGTGACCCTCTCAGATTCTCCCCACAGAGGAGGGTGGGAAGGTCCTCGCGGGGGTGACGGGGACGCTGGGCTGTGCCCCCTGCGGGTCCTGTGCTCTTCCTCACCTCCACCTCCTCCTCCTCCTCCTCCTGGGCAGTGCTGGGCCACGGGGAGGATCAGCCACGTCCCCTTCTTCTTCGTCAGCGCCCGCGGGCCCGGCGCCAGCCCCGGCCGCAGCCCCGTGTCCGTCATGGCCAGCGCCAGCGTGCGGGAGCAGCCGCTCTTCTCGGAGCTGTGACAGCACCGGGAATGGGACCTCCGTCCTCGTGGATCCTCATGGGATCCAGCGTCCTCTTCCTCCCAGGATCTGGCATCCTCTTCCTCCCAGAACCCTCTGGCCTCTTCTGGCATCCTCCATCCTCTTCCTCTCAGCATCCTCCTTCCTCTCAGCATCCTCCTTCCTCTCAGCATCCTCCTTCCTCTCAGCATCCTCCTTCCTCTCAGCATCCTCCTTCCTCTCAGCATCCTCCTTCCTCTCAGCATCCTCCTTCCTCTGCCTCTCAGCATCCTCTTCCTTTTGGCATCCTCTTCCTCCCAGGATGCTCCATCCTCCTTCCTCTTCCTCTCAGCATCTTCTTTCTCCCGGGCTCCTCCTTCCTCTTCCTCTCAGCATCCTCCTTCCTCTTCCTCTCAGCATCCTCTTTCTCCTGGGCTCCTCCATCCTCTTCTTGGCATCCTCTTCCTCCCAGGACGCTGCATCCTCCTTCCTCTTCCTCCTGGCATCCTCCCTCCTCTTCCTCTCTACGTCCTCCATCCTCTCCCCCCGCTGTGGCAGTGCCTTCCTGGGGTGCTCAGAGCCGGCAGGGCCAGTGCTGTGCCAATCAAACCCAGTTTTCCTCATCCCAGGGGGGCTGAAAGCTTCATAGGGGGGCAAACTCTCAAGGTCTGGGGCTCTGGCGTGCTTTTTGTTGTTAAAAGTGGCTTGGGGTGCACCTGGAAGAGAAAAATCCCCCCCTGTACCTTAAATAAATCAGATTTTAGGCGCCTGTGGCAGTGTTGGGGTGCAGCAGCATTGGGGGGGGCTGGGGTTTGGGGGTAAAGAGCTGCTCCCCCAAAACCAGGGGCGGCTGAGGGGTCCCTGGCTGTGGGTGC